GGAGGGCTTCCCCTAACCAAATCTCTTCGACCAGGTTAAGTTCCTCTCTTAGCGACTCTTTGTTCATCTCCTCTTCGAGGGGAGATTCAGTTCGTCTAGAGGATTCTCGGATCTCCACTGGGATGCTTCGAAGCTCTGGAAGTTTCCTATTGCCGCGAGTCTCGAACATTGTTGGTGGCTTCCTTCTCTTTATACTGAATGTACGCCTGGGGTTTAAGGAGGAGGGCATCCAGTGAGTAAGGCGTTTCAATTGAACCTCTGGATGTATGCTCGGAGAGGTTCTTCCTTCCCCTGTATGATCGCTTCGAGCGCCGCCTTGGACTTTGGGTGGCGACGAGAAGCGGTGAAGTGCCTCGTGAACTATTTTCTGAGGTCCTTCTAAGAAGTGGTGGGTTCTAAGGCGAGGCTTTTGTACCATGTCATGGTACCCTTCCTCAGAGAGGCAGGGAACAACCTGCATTTGATGGCGTATCTGACACCGCGATAATCAAGCATAACATCGATGTTTTTGATATCCTCGTCGAGATCCGTTGTTCCATTGTAAATTCCCAAGCTTGGTGGTTTCTCCACCCCTACGGGGAGGAGAACATCCATAATTGCTCGAGATAACGGACTGTGGGGGTCGTCTTCGTCGCTTCGGATCGTCAAGCATGATGGGGAACTGACGTATCGAGGGTTGTTGTCGTAGCGCGGTGAGCCCCTTGGTCAGCTCTTCGATTTACACGGAGGAGAACAATAGTCGTCTGGTCATCAACCAACTTTGTTTTTCTTGGCACCTAGAGAGCGCTGCTCCTTGCAGGGAGGAGTAAAATTACACTTCTTGGTCACCACAGGCTGCAGCCTCTCTAGCCGAGGGCGGCGGACGGGTTATCACAGAGACGGGCTTTGGGACTCAGGTCGTTGTTGTTTCTGCAAGGGAGAGCGTGAACGACAGTCTTTCTCCAGCATTCTGGTTCTTTCATTTTACTGGAAGATCAGCAAGTTGATTTAGTTTATCGCCATGAATAGGGACACCAAGGTCGGATCAGCGTTGGGTGGCATTGGAATTGGTTGAAAAACCTTAGGAGTTTCAGGGTGTTAGGCGACATTCTCGGCCGTACCATTGGAGGAGGAGGAGGAGGTGAGTCCATCTCTAGGGATCCCTTCTTCAGCAAATGGCATCTCATCATTGTTGTCGTGGTTACCGTCGGCAGGGAGGGCAGTTTCGCAAACATTGATATTGTCTCCGTGTTGGTTGGGCTTGATTTGTAGGTTTTGAGAATTCTGCTTTGATCTTTGGTTTCAAGGAAAGAAATATAGGGGAGAAAAGTTCCCACAAACGGCGCCATAAATCTTACCTATGATCAAAAGTAAATTGGTGGCCAACAACACGTCGTAGTTTCCAACATCAGGTGAGGAAAATAGGGGGCGTACCTGCAAGTCACTCCGATGCTAAAGTTAGTTCAGAGTGAAAGAAGGCAAGTAGCGAGGTTAATGAGTAAAAATTTATAGGTCTACGTTATGGGTTGAATTTTTAGGCCCATAATAGATGACTGTCAGATTCTTACGTGAAAGTAGAGATGGCCAACTCGTGGCCATCATCTTGGGACAACTGCCCCACAATCTTCGGATAATGGGTGAACTTGCCCGTTACTGAGGGCGAAACTGCTCCGGGAAGTGTGTGGGTAAGTTGATGGTGTGTCCTCGAGTGAGGAGCACTTGGAGAACGTGGTTTCCAACGGTCCCAATGGATTGGGCCAACATTTGGGTCGTCCTCAACACCGCATTAGATTGGGCCATGCCCGACAGTGGGCCAGCCATAGGCCCAATCCAGAACACCAACTATTCTAGGAACTATATTATTTTGCAAAAACAAACCTAACGAAAAAGCCTTATTATTAATAACTAGAAACTCGAGTGGATCAGGATAAACACAGATGCGTTGTTCGTGGAAGAAGGGATTTAGATTATGGGTGAGGCGATCTACAATGACAAAGACCATGTCATAATGAAACATTCTTCTTAGGTCCAAGAGGACAATGATCTTACGGCAGCTGAAGTGATGGCAGGAAGGTAGCCATGGAATATGCGCTAGCGGAGGATAGAAGTAGAGTAATGTTTCAATCAGATTGCATGAATCCTATAAAGATTATGAACGGTAGCAAAAAAGATATTCCGAAAAATGCCAAAGGGATGATATGTAGAAGCATGTGAAAGATGAAAGAAGGTTTTGCCAGAGTTAAATTTGGTCACATCTAAAAAAAGATCAATAAAACAACGCATAATTTAGGTAGGATTTATGTCTCAAAAACAACCAACAACTTGAAAATGAACCGAAAAGATGTTGATCTAATGCCGTGCAGTTTAGTGTTCGTGGACTTTGTCGATTATAATAATATATCAATACAAATAAATAAAAATTAAAAACTAAAAACTGTGCTATTGAAAAATTGTAGGTGTTTGAGGTGGGTGCAAGGAAAAGAAAAACTCAATATATCTTCTGGATATTGAAATGACCTTGATGCCCATGGCTTGGTATAGTATAGTATAGTAGTTTTATTACACATTTACACTACACCCATCTTATCTCATCAATTGTGACTTTACTTCCTAGACGAAATGAATTAATTCATTGAACCAAAATAACAAACACCAACATGGGAAACTTGACATAAAAATTAGTTATGTCTTTTTCCTTCCCTCCTTTTTTTCTTGTTCACAGTACAACCGTTATTATTATTGTTATTAATTATTAATTACATCTAATTATAGTGGACAGGTATATGAGCTAAATAATAGGGTTTGAAACATTCAAAATAGGAATCAATTTTGGACTGTTGTTTATAATTTGATTGACAAATTTGTGTAGTAGGTTACCAAATTGATTTGTCTTAACTACTTCCTTTTTCTTGGGCCCCTGATTACTACAACACAATTTATGTCTCTTTTAAGTTGTAAGCTAACGTGGTTGAACAGCTTTTCATAAAGAATCACTTATAATTTAGAGTTTAGACCCCTATTTATGTTTAGTGAAAAGTTACCTATCTACACAACATTAATGCTAGAAAAAAGTTTTAACTGTTTAAGTGAGCTAGTTTCATAAAGACTGACTTATAATTATTTGGACCCGGTTCTATTTTTTCTCTCAAAACAGCTTAATAAACTCAATAGTGAGTAGCCATAAAATTGCTAATTAATTGTATCTAAATTTTATTTCAAAAACTAAAATAGCAACATAAAAATAAAAAATAGGGACATGAATTATTGGTAGTTAGGGAAGACTAAATTTTCCATAGTCATATGAATTTAAGCAATAAATAATTTAATATTGAAAATCGTCTATGCTCTAAATTGTTTAGAGATCTTGTATAGAGATAAATTAATTATGATAAAATAAATATAATAATATTTAATTATTATTTAATTGTGACACATATTTTATAAAACTTTATTTTACTACAATTTAATTGTGATAAATTTAATATAGGTAAGTTAGTACAAAATTTTAAGATATAAAATTTTCAATTTTTTAAATGCTAATATTACTCTGAGAGTTATTTATAATTGTAAAGAATCTATTTTCCATTTTTGAAAATAGATATTTGACTTTAAATAAGATACAATTCTTATTTTATACTAATTAAAAAAATTATAGTATAGTTTTACTAACCCAACTTAATTGATAGTTGTGCAAGGATATTAGATGTAGAATTGCGAGTTTGAATCTGTGACATTTTATTTATTTATCTTTAAAATATAATATTTCAGCTGTTAGACTATTTAACCACTAGAAAAAAAACAACAGTTCAATTATCAAATATTTTTTTTTAAAGAACCAACTAAATTTTAAAAAATACAAAATGTTAAAACACACAAAATGTTTGATAAAGTTTATTTTAATTAAAAAAATGATATTCTTACACCAAATTCATACACCTACACTGTATTTACTGTTCATCGGTGAACAGTGAAATATTATAACAATATATTTTAAATATATATATATATATATATATATATATATATATATATATATATATATATATATATATATATATATATATATATATATATATATATATATATATATATAATTTTTTTTGATTTTTAATTTTATTTTTAGATTAAATAATATTGATATAATATATATATATATATATATATATAAATTTTTTTGATTTTTAATTTTATTTTTAGATTAAATAATATTGATATAAAATTGCGTGATTAATCAACTTCATAACCTCATTAATCAATCTTTTATATTTTATTAACCAACTTTGTTTGTTGCTAAAAAATATTTTTAATATCTGAGTGTCTATTAACTAACTTCATATCCTCGTTAATCAATTTTTTACTTTTTATTAACCAATTTTGATTTTTTATTAAAAATATTTTTTAACTTTAACTCTGGACGTCTATTAACCAGCTTCATCACTTTATTAATCAATTTTATTTACTATTTTAAACTATTGTACACAAATACTGTTTACGTACACTATTCACATACTGTTCATGAATACTATTTATGCACTGTTCATATACTGTTTATAAATTTTTTTTTTATTTAAAAAAATTATGTTTATTATATAAATATGGCAAATAATAAATACGGTGTATGTATTTAGTGTAAAAGTGGCGTAAGAATAACAATCCAGTTTTAATTTGTCTTGGGAGTTTAAAGTGAACAATTATATTATAAAACTACAGTCTAGATTTCTCATGGTTCATAAACAACAAAATTTAAAGATTTTTTTATAAAAATAATTGACACAACATTTAGAATCAATGATAGCCCAAACTTTCCACAACAAACTATTGGCCGTTGTCCTTCTCAATTTCAACTACCAACCAAATTTCTTCAAAATAACAAAAACAACTAGTACATAACTAACTACCCATTAATTGCCCAAAATTAAAAAATAAAATAAACACCCACCACATTTATCCACACCTCCTTATCTATCCACCTTATAAAAAACACAATTCTCATATCTAACCTTACATCATCACCATAATCCATGGATTGGTTTTCATGGTTATCAAAAACCACTCTTGACCCTTCACTCATCTATGACTATGGCCTCATCTTTGCACGCAACGAGCTTCAATTACAAGATGCAACTTATTTCAACCATGAGTTTCTTCAAAGCATGGGAATCTCAATCGCCAAACATAGGTTAGAGATTCTCAAACTTGTCAAAAAAGACCAACATCTAGACTCACTACAACAACAACAACCACTACCTAGGAATCTCTCAAGTGTCATCAAAAAGTGTCTCAAAAAATGCTTGAGCAAGTTTGTTTCTCGCGACGACAACGATGTTAAGAGAAACACAAACACGGTTTTATCGACGGTTTTACGCGAACCAAATTGTTATCAAGGGAAAAAGTGGAAAGGAGAGAATGAGAAGCCAGTTTCAATGTGCAGAAGCAGAACAATGCCATATTCAGGGCCATTAGACGGAAGTATGCATGAGAGAAAATTTGTGAACAATAAAGCATTGAAGTTATCTGGGCCTATTGATGGAAGAATGATGAATGAGAGAATGGTGTATACCAATAGAAGCCCATTGAGAACTAGGCCCATTGATGGGAGATTTACAGGAACAGTTAAAAGCCCAAGAGTTTCTGGGCCTTTTGATGCAAAGATGTTGTTTGAGATCAATAGAAGCCCAACAATTACAAGGGCTTCTGTTGAAACTGATAGCCCAATGGGTTATTGTAGTCCATATAATAAGCCCAAAGATGAGTTTGATTTGGATGATGAACATAAACTTTGGCCTACACTCTTTGATCTTAACCCAACTTGATTCTTTTTTGTATTTTTTTCCTTCTTTTTTCTTGTGTGATTCTATGGTGAGTGAAGAAAAGACCCTTTTTTTTTTGTCTTCCTTTTGTTAGTAGTTTATGATAGTAAAGTAATGGTTAGTGTGAAATTTTGTGTATTGTTGAAAAAAAAAGTTTTCTTGTATTCATTCTCTAGTAGTTTTCTAGTTACTTTGTTTATACATTATTTTGTTGGATATGACTCATTTTAATAATTTGTTTGAAATAATGTTTGGGTTGACTTTTTTGAAAGACTCAGAATTAATTCTATAGGTGTGAAATTGATTCTGCGTAATTAAGTATTTGTTTTATCAAAAGTAAAAATTGATTCTACGGCCATTAAAAAATACACCTGTTTTCATTTTCATTGTTTAATGATGTATTTAACTAGATGAAAAAATGTGTATGATGTCTTTCACATTTAAAAAATTGAGGTTACTAGCTGTCTTCCAATACTTCGCCAAATAGATAAAAATGATGCTTTAGATACTGTCACTTTGTGAGCACCATAGCACCGTTAGTAGAAGATACAATTTGATAAAATCTCACGTATATGTCAAGATTATAATGAATAGTATTAGATATTATGACACATTTATTTTCATGATGATTAATATTTCAAAACGAAGTATTAAAGTAAAATCTCACATAAAAAAAATGTTGAATATATAAAAGATCATCTAAAACCAATGACATATCCACTCAAAATTTAAAGCATTAGAAGCATGAGTTCTTTCTTTTATGTATCTAATATATTTTTGGTTTCTAATTAATGTAAGACTTAAACACTTAAATTTGAATTCAACAAAAAATCTATAATATTTAGAAGACTCAAACATTTTCAAATAAATAACATTAAATATGTTTTCTTCTATTCATTCTCTAGTAGTGTTTAACTATTTTGTTTATTATAATGTGTTGATTATGACTCATAATTCACCAATAAGTGAAAAAATTATTTGACAATTATCTGTTCTTCTCATAACTCACATTTAACAATATCTAATACACATATATGAAGCTTTTGTCAAAACAAAAATACACATAAAAGAAACTCACTAGTTATAGCACATCACATATGGAAATATTTTATCATTCCAAGTATGTGATAGATTGAATCCCTTTCCATTCTACATTCAGATTACATATCAGATCATTTAACTTTTTCACCAAACATGCATACATAACATAACCACACTGTCGAATAGCTTCATTCGGCAAGCGAAACAAGTTATTCCACATTGATGGCCACAATAGATCGGATTTGAATCATCTGTCGCAAACCGTTAGATTAAGAGAGAAACGATTATCTTTCTCAATCTAATGGTATGCAACAAACCTATCATGACTATGAAGTAAGGAGTGATCTTTCATTGGCATGTTATTTGAGGCAGCCTGAAAGAGCCACCGGCGTAAAGCATTTGGTAAACCGGCTTAATTCTTAAGGTTAAGATGATGCTGGAGATTGCACCAGCAACACACACAGCAGCAAGTACGAGAAAGGTAACCTTAAAACAATCTGGACCAATACACGAAACACTTGAAGCAACGAGACCGAGCGCTTGTTGCTTTGCTAACTCACTGTCATATATACCGCCGGCTAGAAGCGCTGAGAAAAGTAATGCACCAAGTGGATTACCTAACAACATGAAGTTGAAAAATAAACCAAAGTGCTTCAAACCGAAAAGCTCTGAAACTGTTGGAATCAGTATAGAAAATTGTACGCCGTAGCAGATGCCGAGAAATCCAACTGCTGGATAAAGTGTTCCTTTGATGGCATATGCAAATAAAAGGTACAAGATTATCATAATTATCTGTGTGCATGTCATCCAAACCGTCCGTGGGATCGTTCTCGTCCTGCAAATTGTCAACACAGCGCAGTTATACACTATGAAGTCCAGACTCCGACACAGACAGACACCGGGACACGACACAGACACTCCTACATTGATAATGTCAAAACTTATGACACCAACACCGCTATATAGAAAGAGTATTTCAGAAATTACCGGACAAAATGTTCAGAAACAACTCCTCCACCAAGGCGTCCCACGAAATTGAAAAAACTGAAAACCGAGAGTAAGATAGTGATATCTTCAACACCTTGAGCAGCACCTACTTGAGCCAGATTATTAATCACAGTAACACCAGTTCCAACACCGGCGAAGTAAACAAAAAATAAAAGCCAGAAATCGGCCTTAACCAATGCCTCCAAAAACGTAAAATCTTCCCCTCTTCTAGGCCTTCTCTTTTTCGAAGGTACTACTGCTCCTTCACCCTCAGCAAGAAGCATACCAATCTCAGATGAACCATCAGCGTCATTGAAACTACCAAGAGCAGTAGCCGACGAAGTCTGTAAAAGTGGTTTCGCGTTTTCTTCTTCTTCTCTTCTATCACCTATCTCATTTTCTTCTGGTTGAGTGAGTTTTTGAGGAAAGAGTGTCATCTTTACAGGAATAGCAAGTGGAGCCATGAGAAGAAGAATCATCACAGCCACCAAAACATAAAACACAGTAGAATTTATATGGACAATGTAATCGAGTGTCGTAGTTACAAGTAAATATACACCTAAGGCCACACTTGAACCTTGGATGAAAAGAAAATGCCATTTTTCCGAAGAACTCTCACCGGAAACCGGTGTACAAGGACGAACGAGAAACATTACAGTGAAGCACAAAACAGGAATCCCGATGGCAAGGAACAAGAGGAAATTAGAAGAAGAATTGTGAAGAAGTGCCCTGAAGATTTCGGTGAAAACTGCAGCACTGATCCCTCCATAACCTTTTAGTATTCCTGCAACTGTGCCTCTACTTGCAGAAAAATTTCTCATGTTTGTCACAAGAATAGCAGTGCTTAACCATGCACAACTGTTGGTAGCAATAACAAGTGCAAACCATAGCTGCAAATTTTGTAAATTGATATAAGTATGTGCACAAAAGAGTCTAATTTCTAATTTAGGACCATGTTGTAAGTATCCTAGTATTTCATACATTCTAGTGTTATATGAACAATCAAATTTAGCCGGTTTTCGCAACAACTTTCAAACAGGTTAACACAGTTCAAACATGTGGTTAATTATTAAATGAATGAATCTAAAACTATTATGCATGGACTCCGATGCAGATATTGGAACACGATATGAAAACTTCAACATACCATTTAATTTACGCGACACAGACACTCCGAGACACCATTACATTTATCCCGAAAGAGTTATAAATATTCTAACTAAAATCAATGGCTTTAATTTTTTATTGATAATTTTGCTTTAATATATGTTTAAGTCTCTATAATTGTCATAGAGTATCTTAGACCATTTTAAAAAGTCTAAAGTGCCAAAACATAGAATAAACCATTTTTAGAACGAAATCTGACGTGTTTAACACATGTCGTGCACCGGGAGACTCCTCATATCTGATTCATAGATCTAAAAGTTCAAAGAAATAAAAATAAATAAAAAAATCTCAAGTTTGATACATACTATGATTATTAACAAAAAAAACTCGTTTATTTTGTCTCTTTCTTCAAAACCTCAGATCAAGTTGTGTACAATGTTGTTGTTGAGAGGTCAGATTTTGTTTTTTCTCAGATCGAGATTTTATTAGGAAATAAAATTAAAAAAAAATACAAAATAAACAAGAGAAGATAATAAACCAAAGAAGAAGTAAAAGTTGTTTACCAGAGGAAAAGGAAGTGAGGGAAGTGTTTGGGAGATAGAAAGCCATAGAAGACCAAAACCGAGGAAAGAAAAGAGACCACCTAAGAAAAGCATAAGCCAAGGAGGGAACTTGTTGCAAACAATACCAGGAAGAAGACCAACGTTCTCCCCAATATCATTGGCAACACCAAGAAGAGAAACTTGTGTTTGGTTGAAACCAAGAACGGATTTGAAGGAAGTTGAATAGAGTGGGAATGTGTAAGCACTTCCTACTGCTATTTGAACCCATACTGCAGCTCCAAGTCCTACCCATGGTGGTCTTGTTCCTCCCTTCAGCTTTGTCATGGAGATTCTGTTATGAGATTCGTTTTTGTTTATGTGAAAAGTAAGTAGAAGTTAAAGACAAAGATGATAGGGGAAGAACAAGAATAGAAAGTGCGGAATGGAGGGTTGTTGTCAGAATCAGAGGGATTTATGTGTCCCATATGCTTGTGGGGACTTCTTTAACTAGAGATATAAATAAAAATTCACTTTTATGGTTTTTATATAAACTAATAAAATATTCGTTCGCTAGTCTAAATTTATTTATTACGATATACATTTATTTATTTAAATATAATGTAAATTTAAAATAAATTATTTAATTATAAAATAAATAATAATAATATAAATTTAATTTTAATATTTAAAAATAATAATTTTGTGTTTTAAAGATAATTATTAATTAAAATAAAATAAATATTTTAATAATAGTAAAAACAAAATTAAATATTAATATTATATACATTTATTCGTCAATAAATATTTAATATGATAATTATATATTATAATTATAATGATCGGAATAGTTATGTGTCATTTAGAAAAAAATTAAGACTTAATTATTTATTTTTTTTTAATTTTTTATTAGTGTAAATTAATGTAAAAGAAAGAACAATTTAAAGAATTTGACAGTAGTTAATTTTAACAAAAAGCTAATTGATATTTAAAAAAACAAAAAGAAAAAAGAAAAAAGAAAATGAAGTGTTAAAAAATTAAAAATAAAAGTGAAAAAGTGTGAAAAAAAAAAGTAAAAGAGATTTAAAATTTGAATTAAAAAAAAACAATGGAGATTTAAAATTGAATTATTAAAATAAAGTTATGTGTCACTTTATGGTAGAGTATATTTAAAAATATTTAAGATATTAATTATTTATTTTTTTAAAATTTTTTATAATGTAAATTAATATAAACGAAAAGACAATTTATATAATTTATTCGATAAATTGACCTAAGTTGAATTGTCAACCAATAAAGGTTGACAGCAACTCCGTTATCTAACTAAAAAATTGATATAATTTTACCCAACTAATTTGTATTAAATAAATTGCTACACATATCATTAAAAATGTTAAATGTTCACTCTAATAACAAAACTCCTACTCCGTACTTCTTTTCTCATAATGGATATCCTTTTTGATATTTTGACACTTTAAAATAATAATTAATTTTATGGATTTTATTAATAAAATAAATATCTTTTACTGAAACACCTTATTACTTATTAATAATAAATAGACAATTTATCACTTTTATATTATTTTAACACCTTTATCGTTTACCTCTAAAATTTAAATAAAATAAAATATAAAATAACTTTTAGAATTTTAGTTACACATCAAATCAAAATTTTAAAATTAATCCAATCAAGATATTGGATTATTAAATCATCAATACAAAGTGTTATACTAAAAAAAGAAAAAATTTCAACGGACTCTTGTGTAACCTTATTTTATAGGTGATATGATTTTAGTATGACACATGTGTATTGTGATATGGGAATGGGATATTGAACCTCTAAGAGTCCGATGAATTAGAATTTTAAATTTTTATGTTAGTCCATTTTACACATTTATGGATAGTTTGATGTTGAAAATTCGAGTGGTTGTTCATCTAAGATTGGAAAGAGTTAGCTGAAAATGAACTTTTATAGGGCGGCACTTGTGAATTGTGATCTAAGAATGTGATGGTGACCCTTGGGACTCCAATTGTTTAAAATTTTTAATTTCTATGTTTATTAGTTTGTTTTACACGCGGTAGACGGTCCGATGTTGAAAATTCGAGTTAGTGTTTGTCCAAGATCGGAAATAGTCAATTGAGAAGGACCCTTTATAGTTTGACACTTGTGAGTTGTGATCTAGGATGATGACAACGAACTTTCGAGAGTTTTATTGTTTAATTATTTTAATTTCTATGTTTGTTAGTTTGTTTTACATTTTGTGAACGGTACAATGTTGAAAATTTGAATCTTTAAAAAGAATTTAGTTGAAAAGGACCTAAAAAATTAATCTGGTCATAACAAGGATACTATTAAAACTTATCAAAGGCGAAGTCATTGTTCCGCGCGAGAATCAGAACTTGGAAAGTTACTTTCAGATATCACATTTTCACATCTATCTTTTGCATCTGAACTCATTTTCAACCTCTAACAAGTTTAACACAATTTGCTTCTCAATTCTTAGAGAATGTGAGATCCATTGTATAAGAGGTTCATTCTTTGTTGATGTTTGTGAAGTTCTTGAGTTGCAGGTCAAGATTTAGATTGCGTGGTGTTGTTGGAGTTTAGCAATCCAACAAGAAAGATAAGAAGTTTTATTAATTCGGTAAAGTTGTATGTATGGAAGACTACATACGAAGTCGAAGTTTCTATGTACTTCAGAAAGATCAATGTTCAAGGGATCGATGAGACAAAGTAAAGGTTGCTACAGAACGTAGGCTTGGCAGAAGTATTGATTCTAGAAGAGTTAAGTTGAGATCAGGTGGTTCTTGCAAGATCGACGAAGTATACACAATATACAACAATAAAGGATCAAGACAAGAAGACTAATTATTTTCAAAAGTATCTTGTATCAAGGGGTTGTGTAATTTCTGTAAACAATTGCCTTATTATTTTATAGTGGAAGAAAATATTTTTCATTGGAAAACTATTGAAGAGTGAATTAAGCTCCTGGTGTACTCTTCTCCCTTCCCCCCTTTCTTTAATTTTCTGTATAATTTTGCATCCTTAGGTTTGTATTGCTTTCATAGAATAACATGTTAAGATTATCTTCTTATATCGATTCCGTGATTAAAGTTTAGATTGTGATAGATCTAGTCATTTGAACATTCTCTCTTGTGATTATTGTTGTATGAACTATTATTATTAGATTGATTATTCGATTAATCAAATTCAATTTGAGCTTCATGTGAAAATTGAATAATGATGATTGTTGAATTGCTTAATTAAACAAATTCATATTTCTCAGTTGTTTTGATTTCTAATAATCTGAGTTAATTGAAATATCCATTTTATAATATGTTTTATAAAACCACCACCATCTTTCGCTTCTATTTGTAATGTGTTTTTATGATATTAACAATTGGTCTCAAAGCTTGTTATTTGCGTATAAAACTATGATTTTTTTAAAAAGGAAATGTTTTTTAAAATGGTTTTAAGAAAAATGTCTATTAACCTCCATCTAGACCATTAGATCTCATGTCCTCCACCAATATTAGAGACATGTCAGTTGAATCGGAAATCATCTTAATGATTTTTTGGATAATTTTTATATTGTCTAATCGATTGGCACTTATACCCAATTGATTGGGTTAATGCAAAAGCTATCTTTGATTCATGTGGGAAATATTTGCAAAAATAAGTGAGATAACTACTTCTTGCCTAAATTTGTCTAGGTGAGCCTCTTCAAATGGATTGTACTTTCTAAAAAGACCATTTGGTTTATAGTCAATTTGATTTTTCTCCGGGATTGAATCTTCAACTACAAGAAGAGAGTTTTCTATTGCTTTGGTTCTCAACACGAATTCAGTGATGGAGTGATTATCTTTCTTTGTTGACTTTAGTTTAACCCGTAGTTGACAAACCATAGCTTCCAAATATGTGTTGAAGTATTTGTGAACTTACCCAAAATTTCATACCTATTTTTGCACAAAATAACCCAAAACATGACCGATTCTGAGATTGTAAATAATAACCAAATGAGCAAAACTTGATATTACACAATCCAAAATTTATACTCATAATAAACAAAATTTATACTCATCATAAACAGTTTTTTCTTAATAATCTTGACTGTGTTTGACATTGTGGCATTTTCATTTAATTAACAATTTCAAGATTCATACTCTTACTTATCAAAAAACAATCTAATATTTTCCTATTTTTGTATAATTGACATTTCATTTAATAGATGTCATTGACATTGTATCGCCATGTAAGCATAATTTTCCATATAAAATTATTAAATTATTAAATTAATTTTTTTTAATATTAGTTAGTATGATTAATAAATGAAATAGTGTTTATTAAATTGTTTTCAGCTTGGTTGGTTTTAGTTTTCATTGTCTTCTTAGTTTTGCACATCCAGACAATTACCTCTTCCGTCTCCTTCTTTGAACCTTAGATTTTTTTAATAAATTGTTCAATGAAGCAATTCATCTCTCACTATAAATGTGATCTTCTTCTGTATGAATATAAATGTTGTCTTGACGTTCCACTAATGATAGCAAGAACTGATTTGTATGAGATGTATAACTTTAGTTGTATTTTATACTTATGTAAAATTTAATTTAATGATGGTAAATATTCTTCACTTATAAATTTTATTTTACATTTTTTTTCTAAACTATTTTAAAAATGAATAAATTAGATGCGACATATTCGATCAACGTCTTTATATTTGACATCTATGTAGATTTTATTTTCTTAGATCCTACTTAAAATACATTATAATCAAATTGCAAAATTGCACAATTAAAAAGAAAAATAAAGCGTGTTTGCCGACGTGATTGTGTGTATAAGAGAAATTAATCTCTAATTGCAGAATTGAATTAATAATTGTGATTGAAACGTCCAACATTGAGTGATGTCAAAAGACACTTAGCACAGTGTGCGAAAAGAAAGCAACGCTGACCAATACTAGTTGGTTTTGCTTTGCCTTAGTTTGAAATATTCACATTGGTGGGAATATCCTCTTTAGATATTTCCTCCTTTTCACAAAAAAAAAAAAAGTGATATTTGGATTTTGTGATTTTTAATAAAATAAATTAACTTCATTTCATGATAGTTTTTGGCCATCTTCATTAAACACCGTGAGTATTTTTTAAAGTCTTTTTAGCCATTTTTATCTGAAAGTTGAAGCTAAAGTCGAATATATCAAACACGTGACATTTTTCGTATTTTAAGATGATCAGTGCGTACCTATTGCTGGAATGGTTGTTGGGAGATTAAGGAAGGCCATGAATGCAGTAAGTTCAACGATTCTAGACAACTCGATATTGTTGTATGACATTTAAGCTGTTACATTAAC